GACCACGTGCTTCAAACACAAAGCAACTGAAGATCATGGTATATTTTGTAAATTTTTACTTAGTGGATTTAATATTTATTTATCATTCTTTTTTAAATTCCAAATACTGTCGATGAAGGCTCTGTGAATAAGTGGAGCTTAACGTTTGGCTTTTAAACTTTTAAATATTAATTATGTCTTACCACATATAGCTCAGAAATTTGTAGCAATATTGCAATAATATTTTGTAAAGTTACTGTAATATTATTTGAAGGTTACAATGTTGCTGCAAATATATAATTGGAATGGAATAAAATCAATTTTATTTTATCAAGTATATTTAATAAGTATATAATATTATATAATATAACTGTTAGAAATTTTGTTAATTTGTTAAGTGATATATTATGATGAAATTGAAAAGTAATGAACGGTTTAACTGAAAAGTAAGTTACAGTCATAACTTAATTTTAAATATAATGAATAAAAAAATTAAATTTCAAATCTATAATGTATCACTAAATTTAATTTTTTTTTCTATTAATCTATCATTAAATTTCAAATCTATTTCAAAATTTATGGAAAGTACATTAAATTTCATAAAATTTTATAAGAATTAAATATATTAAATTTCATTTACATAAATATATTTTCAGTTACAAATACATTTTATGATATTTTTAGCAATGTAGACTATAATTGTAATACATTCATATAAATTATACGAGATGTAATATATGTATAAACATAGTAATGTTTGTCAGATTAATTAGTAAGTAATTAATAAAGTAATTAATAATGTCATTTGAGTAAATTTGAACATATTCATAAGAAAGTTGATTTGTCATATACAATTGTAAAATTATTTTATGTTACAACTCAAAGAGATTATTTATTTATTCGTTAAATGCGCTTCATATATTCCATGCTAAGATTGTCGTTAATACTGATGTTATGCAACATAGTTTCCAGTGCACTTTCTTGGCTTCTGTCATTGATATAATATATCTGACCTGTAATACATGAAGTAATTAAGGAAACAAAAGATAAGTATAGTTAGTAATATAAAATCCTATTGTAATTTTATACACACACATAATTTTATACACACACACACACACACACACACACACACACATAAAATTTGAATAAATAAAATCAAAACTAGGACTATTATTATTTATATTTCTCACAAAGAAATTGTCAATTACAATTTAGAATATTCAGATAATATATATATATACAGGTAATAACAACTCCTTTAAATTAATGGGATTTAATACAACTAAATAAAATTATTTAAATTAATTTGAATAATTATAATATTTATAAATTATATGTAATATGTGTTGCCTTATACAAACTTACACAGATTTTATATTTTTATAAATGCATTGCAATGTTTGCAGATTGTATAATCATTTTGTTATTTGGTATGTGATAATTACCAAGTATGTGTAACTTCTATTGGTTTAGGCGTTGATATATTCTAAGGCTCAGGCGTCGATATATTCTGAGGCTTAGGTTTTGACCTATTGCTCTTACATGACGTGTTATCAGATGGTTTTCTAAAATTGTCTTAGATGGAAAATGAAATAAAATTTCACACATTTTACACTTTACAATAAATGAGTTTCCTTTCGAGAAATATTGCCACAAATAGTGTTCATCATTACTCCAGATATCATAAGTAAGTTGGTTATCATTCTGCATTGCTATTATATTCGTGCTGTATCACGGAGTTGTGTTATTACTAAACACGGCGTACTGATTATTCTAAAGAAAATATTCGAAGGAACTGTTTGAAGAGAATTGAAGGAGAAATGGTGAGTTTGTATTAAAATGTAAATATTAATATATAATTTGAATCTTGCTGACACAGTTGAATTGTATAAGGTACAGTTTTGTGTCTAATTATTCGATTCCCGTAGTCTAACATTTAAATTAAAATATTTTGCCCATTATAATATAAGTCAATTAAGAAATGAGATTAGCAGTAAAGGTTAATTAAATTTAAACTTGTATAATGATTGTTTTTTTGTCTGTATGATTTTTAAAATATAAATTGTAATAATTATATTGTAATAAAAGCGATGTCTACATTTTTAATTTATATTGAAAATATAGAATCGATAATATATAAGCTATCTTTTGGTTTATATAAATAATGTATATAAAATGAACGTACAAAATAAATTGATTTTTTGAAAACAATAAAAGTATATGCAGGGTATCATTGGCTGCGCCAATCAGCAGAAAAAGTTTTGCAACCGTTGTAAAATTTTTAGATATGATTAGTTTATACATTTAGATCCAGTGAGGAATTAAAGACAAGACCAATCGTATTAAAGAATTTTACAACAGTTGCAAAGCTGCTTTTTCTGCTGAATGCAGCCATTGTATATCCTACATATATTTATGATTGTATCATTATATAATATATAAATATATATCAAACTAATGATATATTTAAACCATTTCTGCCATGATCAGCTTTAATTTTTTAAACTTATTTTTTATCTTTTTTAGTTCTTAGAATTAGAAACATAAAGAGTAAGTTAAAGTTAATTCCATAATTAAATGTATGATATATTCATTTTTCCATTAACACAGATTAACTTATTTAATTTAATTTGCCTTACTTTTTACCTCTTTCTAATTCTAAAAATAAAAAAATAGAATTAAACTGAAATTAAAATTAATCTATATTGATAAAAATGAATATGAGTCAGACAATGATATTTGAAGTAAGAATTTATGTGGTTTCCAGAGGAAAAAATTTCTCAATCCGCTCATATGTATGCACGTGCAACAGTGGATTCGAAGATGGCGAAAGAGACACGTGCGCTTTTATTACGCTTTATACGTCTCCCTATCCAGATTTTAAAACATTAATAATTATTTTTGAGGTCCATTTATGGGTTTCCGGTTCCGAGAGGAAACCTCATCATTGTCATGTCCCCGCGTATATCCACGTGTCTGATTTTTTTCTGTATATTTATTACCGCACACGTGCGCATGAGCAGCAACGCGCTGTACAGCATGATCGTGATCCTTTTTGCTTGAATATTCGTATTTATGGGGATAGAGGGTTGACTTCAAGGGAGATACTTTATTGAATCATATATCCGAAGCTTTAGCACAAGGGGCCTGGGAAAAGACTTGCAAGATTTCATATTTTCATTGAAGACAATTAATATACAAATAAAGTATGTTTATCTTTTATTTCTTACATATTTTTTATTGTTTATTCTATTTTTAATTATTTGGTTTTTTTAGTTGAATATATATTTCGTATCGTTTAACTTTCTTTCTTTTCTTACCAATACGAAAAGAAAAAGAGGAAAATGAATGACGCAAGAAATTCAGTTGAAAAGAATAGACCTGTTTTTATGTACAAAGAGAATGCAGAATGTTGAAAAAAATCTAAAATTTTCAGGGGTTTTCTTTTTTACTCTTGAAAATTTTCTTTTTAAAAAACGTTTTATTTTTCATCCTTTTTCTTGATGGTATAAAACGTTATAATCTGTTAGCAATAAAAAGTACATTGTTAGAAATGTACTTATGGTGAACGAAATTAAAAATAATGAATGATTTAACTGAAAATTAAATTACAGTAATCACAATGAAATGAATGTGTACATTAACTTTACGAAATTTAATGTATTTTAAAGCAAATTTTAAAAATACGTTACATTAAAAGTACATTAAATTTCATGAAAAATACATTAAATTTTATGTATACACAAATATACTTTTTAGTTATAAATACATTAAATTTAATGTAATGTCATGAAATTAAATTCAAATTGTATAACTTAAAAGTTAATTAAATTTAAGAACATTTCTAACAGTGTATGTGTATGTATAAATATGATATACTTATGTACATCTTCATGTACCTCGCAAGTTTTTATTAAAAAATCAAGGTAACAGTAGACGACAAGCAGAAAGTATAGCAGAAAGTAGCTCATTGATACTGTAGTGATATCTTTCTTATATTATAGGATACTTATCCTATATTATATATAGGATTTGTGACTTTCTCTATTGTAGAAAAGGAGAGATACAGTCATCACATGGAGAATTCTTGTCTTCTATTAATATACAATATATGTAGTTTATTTGCGTTTCTCATTTATTTGAAAATTGTATTAAAGTCTTTTCAATAAAATCTTCAATAAAACCTAAAATTTTAAATAAAAAAACCAAAAAAATCCAGAATCTCTCAGAGAAATAAATCTCAATTTTTTTCACAAGATTTCAGTAAACCTCTTCGAATCGAATGGTTCGCGGAGAAATCCTGCTTGGCCGCATCGGTTAACAGCAGTCTCGCCGAGCCCTTCTGGGCCTCGAGAAAGTATCGGAGTTGAGAAAAAAAAAAGGAGAGGCCAACGGGTGGATGAAGAGCACCGGCCGCAGGGGGTGGAACACGGTGTGGTAATAGCATAAATCCGTGAACTGTGTGTAGTCGGTTCCCGATGGTCTCGAGGAGGGGGAAGGGACAGGCAGGCCGGAGGCAGACCGAGCGTTGGAAGAAACGACAGTCGCCACTCGACGCCTGCACCGAACGGAAGGTAGCTCTGTGAGCATTCGGCCTTTTCGGAATTCCGCTTTGCGTATTCCGCGTAGAAAAATTCTTCCCACCGAGAAAACGAGTCTCGGGGCGAACTTCGACCGCGAGTAGTTCGACGTTGATTGCGAACTCGTTGCGCTCTGTATTAAAAAAAAAAAAAAAAAAAACAAAGAAAGATAAAAACACTACTTCGAAGAGATTTCTTCTTTTCTTCTTTTTTTTATTTCTTTTTTTTTTATGAAACGCGAACGATCGCGGTAAAGAAATGATGAAACGTCGCGGGATCGTCTTGGACCCAGTGTGAACGTCCGTAGGAGGGGAAAGTCCCGCGGCGCATCGATCGAGGGACCGATCGATCGTGTGAGTGGGTCGAGCGGAAGCGCCTTTTCCGGTCGGCGGGAATTTCGGCGAAGCGATCGGGACGCGCTTCGACGGAGAGGAAGATCGAAGAGAGATCGACTTCTCGAAGCGCTCTCGCTGGACCGCTCAGTGTCGCCGTGTTTCGCCCGGTCGCTCGGTAGCGATTCCGCAAATGCGATTCCGAAAGCGGCGCGACTCGTGAAAGTGCGCTGGCGGCGGTGTCGGCCTGTCAGCCGGACAGGTGCGAGAGTAATTGACACGAGGACGAAGTGAAGACAGTAGGGGGGGGGAAAGAAGAAAAGGCATTTGGAGGGAGCGAATAAAGTGATCGAGCGACTTGTTGTTCTCGAGAAAATCGATCGAGGACGTTAATGCGAAATAAAGTCAAGAGGAGGTGGACAGAAATACTTGGAAATACATTTCGAATAAACATTTTAGTAAACAAGTGTCGGAAGAATCGGATGGAGCAAGATAGTTTATTATTGAAAGAGATACAGCGGAAAAGAGATAAAGCTGTGACATTTAACGGATGATAGAGAGACGGATGTAGGAGGGACAGAGAGAAAGTGACGTTACTTCGATCATACTAAGAGTGACCGAGAGGAAGAGAGAAAGCAGACGACGGGTAGGCACCGAAACAGGTCTCCACGTGACACGGACAAAAGTTCGCCGGCTGAAGGAAGAGGAGATCGGTGTGATCTCAGTAACGGAAGCGTTGTGCGCGAGTGTGACACATTCGGTTGCATCCTCGCTTCGTCGATTTTTTTTTTTCTTTTTCCTCGGCTATTCCGTGAGAAAGTGCAGGCCTGACGTTTCACCGCGAGGGAAAGAGCACGCGGATTACTCCGGGATCAGAGAAGAGAGAAATTTTGCGACGCGACGAGCGAGAGGAGGAGGAGAAGGAGGAGAAGAAGGAGGAGGAGAAAAAGGAGGAAGACCACACGAACGCACACGAGGAGACGCGATAAATTGATATTGCTTTATCGGATATCAGCGAAAACCGAGAGAGGGGAGACAACGGATCTGCGCTTCCCCGGGCGAATCCGCAAGCGTGGTAAGTGCGTTGTTTCGTTTATGTGTACATATATGTATACACAGATGTAAACACGCGGCGGAAACACGCCGCCGGCGCTCGGACGGAAATCGATCGTCCTCGGCGATTGGTCCCCGCGGATATCGCGAACGTCACGTATCTTATGCAGGGATTGTAAATTGAGGTAGCCGGTGATTTGGGTTTTCCCCGGGACGATCGCGAATATAACGAGAAAAAAAATATATTTCCATATGGATTGGATTCAGAGTTATCCTGTACATTCCGAAATTCTCTACGCTACTCCGGAAAAAAAGACGTGGTAATAATAATCAAATCTAGGGGATAGTTATCAAACTTTTAATAAGTTACTAAATTTACTTTTTGTGAAATAATTTTAAAATCCAATACCAATTTTACTTTTCTACAATATTATTTTATTCTAATTATTAGGCGGAAAGAACGCCTTTTGCTGAAGTGTTAAAAATTTATAGTTAAATACAGATTTTTAAATTGTTTAATTGTTTGTTGGACCATCAAAATGATTTTTTTAAATACTTAAGGATGTATTTTTTGGTAGAATGAAGAAATAAACATTTTTCTACATTGTATTTGAAAATAATACAAAAAGTTTGGCGACGATTTAGAATCTGGGCAGAAAATTATTTCAATAAAAAGGAGATATGCTCTCTTTTAAAAAAAAATTAAAGTAAAATGAGAAAATTGGATACTTCTAATACATTCATAAGCATCTATGACAATATTGCAAAAAAATTTTAACATTCCAACAATCAGTTTAAGCTTCCTACATAATTATTCCAATGGTCCAAACAAAATTATTTTTAAATCTGTATCTAGCTAAATTTTTAGCTTCAAAATTCTTTCTGTGTACTGAATAGTTTATTACTCTTTTTATATTCAATAATATTTACTAATTATTGGACCAATAGTTCGTATCCATTACCAAATGGAAATTAAAGATAACTTCTTTCTAGTGTACGATAAAAATGCAGAATAATAATTTACACATTTCAAAACTTTTCAGGATGAAGTTCTTGAAAAATCCTATACAGTATTACTCTCATCAATATTAATCTTACAATTTATGTAGAATAATTTTGCAATATTCGTAACACTTTTAGTAATCTCATTCATTCAAAGTTTGTTGCAAACTTCACCACATGCATTTAAATTTCAAATTCACACATTATCGCGAAATCGTGCTGTATTTCGTGCCTTTGGATTTTTGTTAGAAAGTTTTTTGGTTCTCTCGTATTCGAATTTTCTACGCCTAATAGAATATCGCGACAGATCGATATCAGCGTCGATCTCTGGACAATATTACACAGACTGATCATATACGACCGATTAATTAACCCGCGGCGTGTTGCCTCGGTTTGTTTGCTTGTAAACAAATGATGTGGAATCAGGCTAAAAACGCGATTGTTGATATACCGACCACTCTTTGCGTAATTACTTACCTTTGCGATTGTCACTCATTAATACGAGGTACGCTGCGAATGGCGCAGTGCGTGGACGAAGTGCCGTGTAATTAAATCCCCTTGTATCCAAGAACAATTATGCTCGTTAACAGAGCGCACTTCGCGGTTCTCAATTAGTTTCTCGAGTATGATTCCGATATTAAGCACAGATTTAACCTTTAATTGCGAAAATAACTTCACTTGCTTCTCGGTAGTCTAGGTGAACAAAAAACTATTTGAGTTTCGCGGAGAGTATTGTATAATTTATAATATGTTTTTTAATATACAATCTGGGCCATAAGTATAATTATTATTACATAATAAGTATTATTATAAAGTTACTTTTACAAATTGATGTAAACTTTTTAAAGAAAAATAAATTAAGAAAAGTTTTATTAAAAAATGATATTTATTTTTATAACAATTTCAATATCTTGTTAGTTCCTTTAGCTTTCGTTCCTTAGCTTTCGTTATCGAAAGCTTTTCTAAGAAAATATAATAAATTGAAGTTTTACACTGATGGCCAAGATTACATCTTATTTGAAAATCATATTTTATTTCGATTAAACTTAGTACATTTAACAAATTGCGAGTCTTCCAATTCTTTATGTTGATATCTTCTTAATTTTAACGTAACGTATTGCATAGATATTGATTTAATCGTCTCTAATATTGTCGGCTATTTGTCAAGTCACAGTTTCATAAAACTACTTTACACACATTATTGTGCAACGAAAATTATTCCATTTACCATACTCATTATTCGTCATTGAATGCGAGAACGGTCAATTATTGGCTTTTATATCTTTATTCACATCGAATACGTCATGTAATAAAATTCGGAACGCACTTTAATAGGACTTGTAAAGAGATGTTAAAAATTGTTTAACAAGCAAGAAGAATTTATTCGAAATGACTGAGCATTGTAATTAGCCATCATAAATAACGATGGCTTTCAAGTAATGACTCTTAGTAACGACCTGTTCATTGCAAAAAAGAATATATTTGGATAAAAGCTTCGATAAGTTTTAGAGATATTGTTTGATATAAGAGGAGTAGACTTTCAAAATGCGTTTGATCTAAAATTGATAATTTTCAGAAAACGAGAGAAAGAAAGTACATAAGAAAAATAAGAAAACTATGTGCTTTACAAAAAATAACAATATATCAATCAGTAGGATATGAAATATAATTAAACAAAATTGTTAAACAAATGCATTTTACTTTTTTCTAGTTAAAAGACATAATGTACTTCGAAATGTCTATGTTGTTTCAGCACATAAATTAACAGTGAAAAAAATGCTTTCTAAATATTTCAAAATAGCTTATAATATAAATCTTTTAACTCTAAACACTATGCCCTCTTAAACTCAAAAAATGAAATTGTGGACAAAACGCATTTTTAAAATCTGCTCCTCATATATTTAAACTTTCTTTCACTGAACAAAGACTTGCAAAAATAACATTTTACGAAATAATATTACAAAGAAATTTTAGGTTTTTTTATTATTAGTTTCAGAATATTTTTCTCAGTGTTTATATATACTTGTGTCTGTAGATACCTAGACTTTCTTTAGCTTCATAATTTACATAATTTACAAATTGTCATAAATGCTTTTACTGGACTCTTATATTTATTTTTTCTCTTTCTGTAATCTCTGCCTAACAATATCTGTCTACCTTTCACTAGAACTTTTGAAAATTATTGTTCATCGCTCGCAATACTTTAGGGATGAGTCTTCCTCATAAAAGATAATGAACGGAGAAACGATAATAAACTGCTGAGGCATGACATCAGCAGATAGATAATTCTATAAAATGTTAGGAACTTGATGTTCTTAATCGTTAGAATAGAAACGGTTAGGTACAATTAATAATAATAAAATTAACAGTAACATCAAAATATTTCCCATTTCAATGTCACATTTAAAACGCGTTTCTGTTTTTTGAAGAGTTTCTGATAGTCAATTTCTGTTTACAATAGGATAAAAGAAAAACAATACGACTTTGAATAATTAAAGTTGTAAAGTTTCAAATATGCACGAAGATAACAAAATGTAAAATGTAAAAATACTAACAAAGAGTATCTATCAGTGAAAACATTTATTTTTGACGAAAAAATAAATTTTTAAGTAACTTTTTAATTCTTTCAATTCCACTATTATGAGAAACGACATGCCGGCTCGTCTATTAATTTAATTAATTAAAGTGAATTGAAATATTCTCTTGGATTGAAATGCGGGTAGTCTATGTTCTTGTATCGGATTACGATCGTGTAAATTCCAGTTCCGACCAGCGAGGTCACCGATACCCGGTTAACGGAGGTCAGGATCCGCGTCTAGATCGGACAGTGAAGAAGCCAATCTAGATCAAAGTAGATTGCCGTCACATGACGATGTCAACTTCCCAAGACGTTCTTTGAAGTTTCAATAGCGTACGTTTTATTTATCAGTGAAAATTATTATGTTAATTTACTATTAATATATATATAATATTA